ACTCCAGTATCGGAAGACAACTGTCCACAGATTAACAGACAATGTCCTCTGTGGTTTCTGTGGCCAACAGACTGACCTGCTTATCACTGGTCTCCACGAAATAGATTACCATATCACCAATATTGCCCTGGTAACGAGCCCTGCCCTTTGTGCGCAGAAGATCTTCAGATACGTCCCCCAGGTTAGTGCGCACGTAGCAATTGAACCATTTCCTTCTATCACCCGTCGATCGTGCATTCGCAGCCTTCCGTCCATCAGGCACTCACCTAAGATAGCATAATTTGGTGTAGATCTTGACAAGCATGTGCAAACCACACTAACCTAAAAGACTATATGGCCTCATAAACGAATGCCGAAATTCGCAAAGGGACATGCAGCGGTCACCAAGTGGCTTTTATTAAAGAAGTGCATGGGGAAAACCGAACAACAAACGTAACAGCTCCACAAGTTCACCTTTCATTTTGTCGCATTTTTCACATTTTCTAGATTTTCGGTGAATGAAAACGTCCGATGGCACTAACTGAGAACATGGATTTTACTGGTGAGACGTAAGAACGGAATCGGAACCTTAATGGAATTTTCCCGTGACATGCAATAACCTCTTGGGAACTTCCTTGAGGATATCTGCCTTTTGAGCCTGGTTGGTGCCGTAACATACTTGCATATTATTATCACTCCCACCGGAAAACACCTAGTGCCAAGTCTAACCCATAGCCAATAGCATTTTTTAACATTCTCGATGACTTCTTGCAGTTCAAGGATGGGCCTCCGGTCTTGAAACCTGGAAGACCTCACACAATGGTGGCTCTTTAAGCTTAGCGATTTATTGATGAAAATGAATAAATTCAACGCCTAGTCTGCAATCTTCCATTCCGTGCAGTTTCGGCATCATCATATGATTTGTTCACAGTCCATCAGGTGTTTTATATGGTTAAACCTTGGACCAAATATAGCGGAGCCGATCATACATAAGCGGACGCCGTGGTGGTTCGCAGGAATAAAAATGGTGAAACGGACGGTAGGATTTCACCGCTATCATTCTGACAGCCTTTAGAGAAGAATAAAACAGCGGTGAAACAGATGGCAAATTCACGTGATCTGAGGCTCCCCAAGTGGATGAACCTGGAGTTTGCCTGGCCTTCCAGGATCCACAGATACACGAATGTGTATGCCTCTCTCGCTTGGGTCGGCTCACAAGACAGAGCTATCCAAAAGTACAGAAGCTGGTTAAGGGATACGAGGTCAAACATGGTTCCGACCTACTCTACAAATTAGCAGTGTGGCAGAAGAAGACTAAAAGTTGCACAGGGGAAACATGCGATCCCGGGCCAGGGGCTGCAGCGTAGAGGAGCAAGTCCTGCTTGGGGTATGACGGTTGACAGATCCAAATGATAAAATCGCCGAACTTTTAGAAATTTATTCCAAGTCTGCCCACAAAATTTCGTATAGAATTTCACCAGAGACTTCGCGCGAGGCCCCAGAACTAAGTGTACGAAAAATGCACTGTTTTTATGTGTTAGTGAGGTAACAACTCGGTGTTTGCAAAAGCTGTCACAACTTGTTTAATAATAGTAAAAATGATTACTCCCCACTTATGGGTGGCATGCCGTCGGGCATTATTATAAGGTCACAGGCAAAATGATAGCATGAATGGCTGGGGTTGTGCGTACAGAATGGTTTTGTCGAAGGGGACAGCATCACAAGTGGTAGACATCATCTCGTATAAGCGTGGTCACCACTAAACTGGCATGGCCAGGGAGGCGCAGTTACTATGCGTTTTTTTGACCAGTGCTGTTTCTGATCTACGTCAACGACCTCCCAGATGTTCTTGCGAGTCCATGTCTACTTTTTGCGGACAACTTGAAATCCTGAAGTTCCAATGCCAGTACCCTCCAAATGGATGTAGACGCTGTCAACCAGTGGTCGTTGGACTGGCACATTCCTCTGAATGATGAAAAGTGCGTCCGTATGTCGTTTGGAGGTGACTCAGCGAATGCCTATGATGCATGGTGAGAAAGGACCATAAAACATCATGTGGATAGATGCCAAAAAGGATTTGAGCATCTGGGTCTCCTCAAAATTTTCCTTCTCACTGCACCATCAGAAATCGGCCCACAAGGCATTCGCCATTCCACGGATGATCTGACGCACCTTCTCCCGTATTACTCGCATGGACTTCTAACTACTGTATGTGGCCTACGTCAGACCGCTCCTGGAGTAGGCCAACCAATTTGTCCACTCAGGGTGCACGAAAGACGTCACCCTCATTGAGCGTGTCCAGCGGGCCGCCACTAGAATGGTTGTTGGCCTCAAATCCGTGGACTACGAAACGCGTCTTGCGGTGCTTAATCTCTTTCCCCCAGAGTACCGTCGCCTCCGAGGGGACCTAATTCTTACTTATGCCCTGTTTGAACAAAGCTTGGCAAACAGTTTTCTACCGCTGACCCAGCAAACACGGCGGGGACATAGTAAGAAAATTTTCAAGCTCAGAGCACACACATTCATTAGACAAATTTTTTTCTCATTTCGGGTAGTAGCTTCGTGGAATGGCCTTCCTCCGACGGTTGTCCACACTACTTCTAAAACCCATTGTAATGCATCATTGGACATTTATTCATGCGAATCCTCGCACTGGCGCGCATACCGCACCGCGCTGAGAACAGAAAGAACAGTGCTTGTGCCTTTCAGGTGAACGACAGCCACTGACTGACAAGAACACAAGCGACCCGGAAAACCTGGGCAATAGCCTCGATCCTGTGTATCAATCCGTGAATCCGTGAAGCCAGCTGCTAGACGCACAATGAATTTTTGTGCAAAACCCCTGCCGGCGAAATAAAATCTTTAACGTCAAATTGTTGCAATTCTTGGCACATATGCGTAGACTGAAAACCCCCCTTCTGCAGTTATTTTTTGGGATTTGTTTAGATCGATCTCTTCTGAAAATTATTGGCGCACATTCGGTTTTGAACTTCTGTAACGCATTTGAAACCCGACTGTACCTGATTGTATGTCTATCATATGACATTATTTGTGCCTCTCCCTCTGCAGGTACCACGGGCGAGTCACCACGGGCCCTGGACAGGGAAGAGCATCCCACTTGTACACCCCCCTAACTGACCTTGACCCAACTTTGTACACCCCCGACTTGCGTTTTCGGTTTCGTTCGAATACACGCGTGTCGTTACCACGCTCCGGTGTTCTCTTCTGCCTCACCCGCCCTGTGATCATGTGTGCTGTGTATACCGTGTGGACTCATTAATACCAGTCCGTATCTCCGCACATTTCAGAACTGACGTGTGCGGTCACCACATCCTCTCGAACATCGAATACCGCTGACTTCCTGACATCCCACGCTACATTGGTGACAGTGGTGGGATAATTCAACTTCGAGGTTAATTTTCGATCTCCCAAATATAACGGAACATGTACGACGAAACTGCCAGAGAATCGGTCGGTATTTTGAAGCTGATCATGTCCCGCATCCAACCACCTCTGGAAGAATCAGAGACGTTTCAAATGGGCGACGATTTCACGCTCTGGTCGGGTCGAATGAAGGCATTCCTTACGCTGGTACATCCGCAGTATCACGAGTATTATATCCTGTCCCATCTAGATGACCCAGCCGCCCGTCGTGTACTTTATTCAGGCGTTTCGCTGTCTGCACCATCAGACATCCTCTGGAATGACTTGTCCTTCCTGTTCGATACACGACCGCCGAGTCATGTCCCTCACTCCTCGCGCAACATGAACCCTCTGTCCAACAGTTCGATGCTTCATTCGCATCCTCCGGTCCGCATTTTTCTCCTACTACTTCCACACTTGATGTTATGTGTCCACATTTGGGTACCACAACAAAACCGCCCACGCAGTTTGATCCCACACTTGGCGTCACACAAGCGGCTTATTCAATTCCGGATAATGGAGTTGATAATATCGAAAAGCCGCCAAGAGAGACGGAAAGGAACACAGCTCGGACCTTACCTGATAACTTGAAGCAAGTGCACGAAGAGGTTACCAACTACGCAACATGTCATGTTGGTCATGTGGACGAGCGGAACCCAGCACCTCACACTGAAGACGACGAAAACAATCAAGCTGTAGACAGCAAGCAACAACAAACAAAAGTGGTGGTGGACGCGAACTTCAGTGCACAGGTGAATATGGACAACGCATATACCACGAACCTGGACACAGTGGTCAACAGAGCAGACGTCTCTATCGTCATCTCGCCGGCTGAGCACACAGAATATGCTGTCTATCAAACAGATGCAGTTTCGATCATTCCGTTGAATTTGACCCCAGTCTAAACCAAGACTTCCGCCACCACTGCCAACACTTCTGAAGACCGGCACCCTTTGGCTCGTCAAACCCGCCTTAAAGTTGACAACTCAGGTGGCAACGTGAGTGACGTGTCGCACCGACTCCCAATAGGCAAAAGAGCCCCTCGACGCACGCAAGAAGCGAGGAATAACTGTCCTCAAGTCAACCCCAAAAGTGAATTTTGGGGTAAGTATCTCTACCTGTTTGTCGGCCGCCCGCCTTATGGTGATATTTCGATAACCTGAATTATATCTTCCTCTCATTTCAGGACTTCAACGGCCAAATGAACGATCCTCACGAAGAAGAAAATGTGCTTCAGCGAAGGACATATGTAGACTTCAAAAGGACCAATATATCTCAAAATTTCAAGACGTCCATTTTGGGCCTTTTCTCCGTCACACATGGATGGATTAGTTAGGCATCGTGTACCCCTGGCCGTATGTTAGTGGTGTGCGTCAGTTAAGATCGTTCAGCTCTCTAGTTTTATCGACGTAGGCTCTATGTGGCTAGTTAGTTAGGCATCGCGTACNTAGCCGCATGTTAGTGGTGTGCGTCAGTTAAGATCGTTCAGCTGTCTGGTATTATTGACGTAGGCTCTATGTGGCTGGTTAGTTTGGTATCGTGTACTCCTAGCCGCATGTTAGTGGTGTGCGTCGGTTGAGATCGTCCAGCTGTTTGGTATTATCGACGTAGGCCCTATGTGGCTAGTTAGTTAGGCATCGCGTGCCCCTAGACGCATGTTAGTCGTGTGCGTCGGTTAAGATCGTTCAGCTGTCTGGTATTATCGACGTAGGTTCCATGTGGCTAGTTAGTTAGGCGTCGCGTACCCCTAGCCGAATGTTAGTGGTGTGCATCGGTTAAGACCGATGAACCTCGAGGTCTTTCTAGCATAATTCGGAACCTATAATGAAAACCTTTGTAATTTGCCAGCCAAACTGCACGATGTTTAGCAAATAATTAGCGTGCACTACGGAATTTTTACTGACAACAAAGAATCATCGACCAAAATTTGTTTGCACGAATGCGCCTACGCAAATGTTGCATCTTCGAAGGCCATTTAGCTTCTAGAATGTTGAGGAAATCTGTTCCGGTGGAAAAATACCTGAAAATTACTTTCATTTTATGTGAGTCAACCTTTTCTACAATTCGCGATTTTTTATCATCAGGTAACGTATTCACAGTCGGCGGACTTTATTGACCTGGAGATTTCGTTCACTTAAACAAATCGCCATGGTAAAGTAATAATACAGGAGCATATACATTATACATAGACATTCTACACTATGAAGTGGCAAGTCTGAAAATGCCGTAGATTTCCAGAAATCAATCTCAGTGTGCGAATAGCCAGCGGCATCCGCCAAAGATCGGATCGTGAGGATTTGAATGTGGCGGGCAAAAGCAAAGCGAGAGATGGCAAAACAAAGAGCTTCCTGCCAAATACGTGACAAGAGGACTGTCGATGCTGGAAAGTGAGGAACCAGAAAATAAGATCTAGTGAAACAGACGTGTTGGCGCCATCCAACTAGTCAAATTGAACTAAACCTTAAACCACTGTTAAGGCCTCGTGGCCTTGGACCGTTGGGCTCACGGCCGGGGTCATAAAAAGAGCAAGTGAGGGTGATGAAATGGAGGGATTAACAAAGCGGATGAATGATATCAGGAATCTCAGAATCGCAGTGCACAGTGAAACTGTGAGGACACAGTGGTATCGCTGTTGTTGAGGAAGTTAGTTCCGTGGAAGACTGAGATGGTGGCAGCACACGAACCGGAGCGCGAACGGTATTGGAAATTATTGCTTTTGAGGGGGAAGCACAGGCGCACATAAATGGATAAATTCGAACGAAGAATTCATCAGATTGGAATGTACATGTCATGAAGGCAGTTGGGGCCAGGTGGGGAGCATGTTCGTATTGGTAGTCAGTGGAACGGAGGGTCGCGAGTGTACGGTAGCATGTTAACCAAGAAAGTCGAAAGGAAGTCTGGGGACGATGCCCGGAATCGAACCGCGAACCACCAGGGCCGTTCCGAAGATTACCCCGCTCGGCCATCTAGCCTCGAGCGACCATCGGTGCAAACCTCTGCTAAACAGCTGGGCCTCGTATGCAGTGGGTGTATGTTTCGGTATGGATCACGTGATTAGGACCAGCCAATCATTTGCTTCAGTTTGGCTTGTGCATGAATCGACTTCCGGTCGAGAGTGGGATGGACATGGTTGCGGGTGAGCCATCAAACAGTATGGCAGTGCCGTGACCTGATATATTCCGATTTTTGGACAGCCCTGTATTTAAGGTCATTGGGCTGGGAAGCGCAATTCTTTAAGCAGCAAGATTTTTTCAGGCTTGTCAAGATAACAAAGGTAGAACGAAGCCGCTATAAGATCGCAGGTTTTTCGGTCCGTTTTGGGATCATTGTAGATCATAGGCCAGTTGGAGTGGGTAACGGCCAGCCAGGTCGTCCATACCTGATATTGCCGAAATTCAAACCTTGGAAAGCTGAGGGAATGGCATGTGGTTGGTAAAGTAGGAGATATCAGATGGTATATGTGCGTTACTATACACAGAGAGAAATACTTGACATCTACCGCGATTAGGGTAACTACAACAAGCGATTGTGAGATAGGATAGGGATGTATTTGTACTCAGTAGGCTAGCGACCAAACAAGGACTGGATTTGCTAGCATATGATATTAAATACAAAAGATCTAGTGCAAACCGTTGTAAGCACGCAGTAGTGTTGTGGTTAGGGATTGAACATCCGCACTACATTATTTGGGAGGAAGCTATCGGCAACTCTCACAACATTATGCCGAGTGTCCTGTATTCAGAACAGTTTACCAAACAGTTACAGAGCCGTTAAGCGTTATTATTACCTGTGTAACTGGACAGCTTTGAGAGTACAGAGAATAATATTTTGTCGTCGGCCAAGAAAATATTGGTCCATTCGACCCCTATGGGTGTGGCATTCTGTATGGAAAGTAAAGGATGCAGTAACAAGAATTCGGTTCTTACTGGAGGAATCTTGGTCCATTATGTGGCGTAGGTAAAACAAGTACAATAATGCGATTCGTTTCCTGAATGTGGCGGCATTGAAGGAGTAGAACATTTGCCTATGTAGATCCGTGCTTCACAGCCGCGTCCTAAGCCTCTCGCATTCACTCACCATTCTTGAAGAAATACGTAATTGTACTGTAGATGCGCAGAAGAGGGCTACAAGGTTATCAAGTGGATATGAGTGCGACGTCTATTTGAACGCGCTCCAAAATGCTCATCCTCTCTAGAGTGACGCGCTGTGGAGGAGGTCCACATTATCTCTCAAGCAGGCTTCTGGTACGGCGGGTCGCCTAAACGGTTTTGCACTATAACACAATCTGCTGACATGTGGTGATAACACAACATATCTAATCGGTGGGAATTTTTGTTGCTGCACCATTAGCAAACATGCCCAAGGGGCCTATTAGCCGCACAATGCTCTTAGCTGCAAAACCTTTACGAGTGGAGTAAAACCTTTTTGCTCCAAAATGTTTCAGGATCACGGACCTTCTGGTCAGCAAATTCGCGCTCTAACCACTTAGACCATCTCTCCAGAATCGAGGCATAGCTACACTCAGCTTGGCTTGTTTGCTGTCAAATATGGCTGTACTCACGTGAGCATGAGCTATTGGCGAGCGGAGGTTTCTGCTGATGGCCTTACTCTTTAACCATACAAAGACGGCAATTGCTCGTGGGCGTAGTTATAAGTTTGAAAAGCCTGGGATTCATTATCCCCTTCTGTTGGCTGCACTTCCGGAAGGCGT